GAAGGGAGAAGAGGTGGGAAGGAAAAGGGTGTGGTAGTGGGCGGGGGAGGCCTGGCCTTGAGGTAGAGAGGTGTGTGCTTAGGCTGTGAGAGGAAAACGCTGTGGAAAGTAGCAATCGCCGGAGCAGATAGAAATAATGAGAGCGATTGCCTCAGGGTTCTGAAATGAAGTAAGGGGGTGAGGAAAGAATTGAAGAGTTAGGCCAAACTGAGGAGACTGTCAGGGCAATGAGAAGGGTAAGGGTGGGCTTGGGTGCACTCTGCCTGGAGGACCAGTTGCTCACCCGTCAAGGGTGCCTGGGAGCTGGAACACTCTGTCCAGCTATCTGTACTCCTCCCGTGGTGGGTCAATGTCTGGCTCTTCCTGAGGTCTGTTGCCCACCTCAGGGGCAGGTGGCCAGGGGTTTTCTGGAGGCTGGGGTCCTGCCGGCCAAGGGTCATCAGGCCGTGGAGGTTGAGGGGGATCCATTGTGTGAGGTTCAGGGGGCCAGACTCCAGTTTCAGGCAGGTCTCTCCAAGGACGATTGGGACCTGGAGGTGGTGGATCTTCAAAGACAGGGGGTGCCCCTGGCCAGGGATCACCTGGGATTGGGGGACCCTGAGGCCATGTTGGGGAGACCTCCTCCTCGTGGGTCTCTGTGGGTGAGGGAGAAGGGTGGTCCCCGCTGCCTGAGATGCCTAGAGAGGAGGAAAGGAGAGGTAAGAGGCATGTGAAGGCCACACGCTACAATTCCAGGAGCATAGGTTCTCTGGGATTGGCCATGGCCCTCAGGGGAGCTTACCCCACAAACAAATCTTAAAAGTAATTCTCAAAGAACTCTCTCACATTTACAAAATATTAAAATGATCTTAAAATGGCATGAAAACCCCATACTGTTCTGAACCATTGATTTGAGCAATTCAAATAAGCCCTCCATTGAGTTGACCAAGTCAAACTGACGTCTCAAATAAGCCCCAAACATCACTGATTGAGACAGCCAACGGACATGACCCTTAAGCTGGTTTGCAGGCCCCATGTGACACCCAGATCCCATCTCTACAGTGACCTCCACCCTCCTCTAAGTTCAGGCCCCTGCTCAAAAGAATACTTGCCCACACACAAATTCTGTTGCAGATCTTCACACGGAGCTACACCTGAACCAGCCAAAATGCACCTTCCAGCATCATATTGTTCTGAACGTTTCCCCTCCTATCAGTTCCCAGAATCTCCCTCACCAGCTTCCTTCTTAACAGACTCCCTCACCTCACTTGACCATCACTGTCACCCCCAAATTGCACACCAGGGGTGCACTCAGCTCACCTTGAGAACACAGGCAAAGGACCAGGATCCCCAATAGTTTCCAGCTGAGCATTGTGAATATCTCCTGACCCCCAAAGTCGGGGGTGAGCTGTCTGCATGTCTGAGAATCTCAAGAGGCTTTATAGGGGAAGAGGGAGAGGAGGAGATCAGTCTCTGGGGAGGGGCAGGCCCAGTGACACAAGGACTCCCATCAGAGCCTAACAGGCCAAACCCGTTTGGAAGGCCATGGCTAATATGTAACCTCTGAGATGGCAGCGTCTCTCATTTTAGTACCCCGGCCCAGGACCAGCCACCCAGATCTCCCTAGTGACCCAGACCCTTGTTTTCATGCCCCCTTCTATTCATACCCTGCAGGGATCAGTCCCCACCTATCATCCCTGTAATCGCAGAAATGTCCACCTTTCATCCCACATGGCCTTTGGAAGCCAAAGAATGAGAGCCAACCAGGCGTGGGGAAGCAGTCTAATTACAGGGCTGGCAGGCAGGACGCGCGGGTCGGGGGGGCCTTTGAACCCCTGGATGCAGCTAGGGCACTCAGTCATTGCAGGAGCCTCCCTACCCACCCTCACTGTGAACACTCCCAGAAGGGCTTGGTTCTTTCTTGAAACATGGCCCCTTGGGATTCAGGCATGTGACTCTCCAGGATCTGCCTTCTTCAGACGTTCAGAGTTCCTTCCAGGGGGAATTCCACTCAGGAGCTTCCTGGGGTGACTGTGGATGACGAAGAAAACACAAGGACATCCTGATTCCTGCTCTCCACCCAGAGTAGACCATCAGTCACCACCCTGAGGCTCAGAAAGAAGCTGCCTCAGCCTCTCCCTGCCCCCTTCCCCAAGAACTCCTCCTCTCAGCCTTCTGCTTCTCTCTCCTGGTCCTTGGTTCCAACCTTCTCTGTCCCCCTCCGCCCACCCTTGCTGCTCTAGGCACCAGTGTACTTGTCTTAGTCTCTCAATACCCCCTGAAATTTTTCCAACATCTCGCCTGTGGGTCTAATAAACCACTCAGCAGTTGACAGCAGAACTTGATCCCCTGTCTAGTTATCACCCAACTAGTCTGCTCCACTGTAGTGAGGGACTACACTTTGTGACTCAAGCAGAAAACCATAATTCTTCCTCATCTCTCCTCCTCCACCTCTACCCAACCCAGTCACTTCCTACCCACCTCCCCTGAGCTTGAACCACCATCATCTCTCTCCTAAACTATCATCACTAACTCTGTTCCAGCTCACATAGACCCTGTGTTGCGGAGCACAACTGCTCCATAGGGTTGTTGTTTTTGTTTTTTTTTAATGTTGTATTGTGAATTATGTGATAGTTTACATGGGAGAACATTAGCTTTACATTCATTCTATCATATATGGTTTCATTGCTATGGTCACAATCCCCTCCATGCATCATCAACCAAGCCTACCCCCTTACCCCCAGTTGTCAGCACACAGCCCCTCTCCTCCTCTGGGTCTAGAGTTCACAGCTGCTCCATCTCTCATCATTATCTCCACCCCCAGTGTCACTGCTTCTCTGGGTAGGGTCCCACTCTCCACTCTTCTCCCTTGATGGTCTCAGGGACCTCTGCTCCAGGACAGCAAAGTCAATCACTCCCCTCTTTTTGCTACACATCTACCTTTACATTTCCAACCCTCACAGACAGTCCTGATAACAATTATTCACTATTGTACCACAAGAGACCTATCCCTATCTCCTTTCATTAGCCCTGCCCAGACAGATTGGATACTACTTAGTGGAGATTCTACCTTCCTCCGCACCATCTGGATCTAGGTTCCCTCTTGAAAGCTTGTAAGCTAGTCACTTCTTGCCTTTGTAGCACCCCCCACTTTGGGTAGCCAATGTCAAAGTTGCCCATCCCTGTCTACCCTGTGTATGAAGGGGGTGGGAATGATCTCTGCTTTAAAGATTTGTTCCCTCTTTCAAGCTACTGCATCCATAAATGTAGGTCAAGTTAATGAAATTGTATCAGATTACTCTTTTTTTCCTCTTCTTTCTTCTTCTAGTTGAGTTCTGATCATCCAGCCATTGAAGCCAGGTCAAGTGGGTATTAGCTGTAAGTGTTGAGTGTTCTTGTGCATATTCCCTCTCTTCTTATCAGCTGGACATTTCACTCTCCACTCTAGTCTCTGTGGCTATCACTGACTCTGGGCCCAGGAGTCCCCAAGTCTTGCCAAACTGCTGGCCAACAGGTCTCCAGCTGGGTCACAGGAATCTCCATAGGGCTTTCTTGGCTAATCTTTATGGAAGCAGATGGCCAGGCCTTTCTTCTGCAATACTGTGTAAGTTACTAGGGTGGCATTTGTGCCAAATGCTACCCTAGACTCCTCCAATACCCTAACTAGGTGTTTGGTGCCAATGTAATTAAAAGACAGTGGAATTTTTCCATAAACTTTTGAAGCCCCTTTGTATATTTTATTGTATCTTCTTCATAGCACTTATAGTTTGATCTTGTTTGTTCACTTATCAATACAAAACCCCAAACCCACTGCCATTGAGTTGATGCTGATGCATGGATCATGTGCTCTCGATCTGCTCCACATGGTGCTGCTGGAAGGGTTCAAACCACCCCCTAAGGAGTGTTTCCAAACCCACTGTTGTCAATTCCAGCTTGTAGCTACCCCATAAAGGGTTTGAGGCTGCCAATGCTTACAGGAGAAAGCCTCATCTTTCTCCTGAGGAGCGGCTGGTGGGTTTGAACTGCTGACCTTCTGATGAACAGTCCAGTGCTTATCCTACTGCACCAACAGGGCCAAGTGCAAACCATCTTCACCAGTCAGGGACCCTGATTACTCACTTAAATGCTTGCCTCTGTCATCTCTCCTCACTGACTATGAGGCTATGGGAGCAGGACCTCAGCTGTCAGGCTCGCCCAAGGCCCCATGCTACTACTATACCGTGCCTGTTGAATGGCGTTCATCAACTTCCAGAGGGGAAGAGCTTTAGAATAAAAGATGAGAGCAAAGAAAACCAGAAGCCTCTCAAAAAGCTTCCAGAGCAGCCTGGGAAAGAGGTTTTGAAAAGCAATTGTCTGGAGAGAGCTAGATGGGGGACTTCTCATGTCTCCAGGAAAAAAGCTGACTGCAATGAGGATTCCCTTTCGTTTCCAGATATAACGCCACACAACGGCTTGTCCTGCAATCATCTTTATTCAGCACAGACTTCACAGATATCGGGTGGTTGCTGCCTGCCCCACTTCTCCGGATCCTCCAGGATCCTCCCCAATCCTCCCTTTCAGCAGTGAACTGGAGGAAGAGTTCCGGTTGTCTCCTTGACAGAGGTCTTCCTCTTTGGCAATGGCCTCAGTCAAGCCCTGCAGGTCATCGAGCAGAGTGGAAAGGGACCCTGGGGAAGAAGACACCAAAAGGTCAGAAGGGGACAAGAAGAGGCTCCCCCAGCAACTGTGCAGAAGGAACGTGGCTGCAGGGGCCTGAGAGTCACGAGGGAAAGGTTCTCTGGTCCATGGTGAGTGTGGCTAAAGGAGGCTGTGGACCCCCAAATATCAAGGGGAACACCACTCATGTTCCCAAGAGTGTTTGGGGGAATACCTGCAGTCCCCTCATTTGTCCCTACATGCCAAAGCTCTTACTTTTTATGGGGTCCCTGGAGGAGGGTACCACTGCTGCAGATGAAGATGCTGGGGGAACAGGAGGTGCTGAGGATCCTGGAGGCTTGGGGCTGGACTCCACAGATTTCCCCTCCTCCAGTAAGGAAGGAAGAACTGCCAAGAGCCGCTGCTGCTTGTGACGGGAGAGCAGACCCTCCTGCCTCAAGGTGTCCTGGGAAGGAGAGGGTTAGACGCCACCTCGCCTGGTGGGAGGAGCCTCCCCCAATTCTTTCCACACTTCTGCCCTCCATCCAGTCCAGGATGGGCCCTGGTCTCTCTGCCACCTACCAGCATGAGGTTCTTGTCCCTCTCCAGCTCCTGTAGGCGCCTCATCAGCCGCAACGCCTCCTCCTTGCGGGCCTCCTCCTGCAGCTGCCTGAGCTGCTGGTTCCGCTCCTTTTCCCGGGCAGCTTTGCGTTGGATCTGACGCAGGGAGACCACTATGGGGAAGCCAGGACACAGAGGGGACAAGGTGGTCAGCTCTGAGGCAACAAGACCCCATGAAAACCAGACTGGAATGACAGGCAGGAACACTGGGTTCCCAGCTCTGTGACTTGAGGAAGTCACTTACGTTATGAGGGCATCTGTGCCTCTTCTGTAACATGGAGAGTGGAGAGGGGCAGATTCTAGGAGTCTACGAATCTCTGAACCCAAAGCACCTTCCCTGTCCCCAAACCACCCCCAGAGTCCCTAGAGGAAGTCTAAATATGTATTGGATACTAGATTTGGGGCAATTAAGCTATTGTTTTCTTAAAACAAGAATTCCTTAAAAATAGAATTTCATACTTATGGGCAATGCACATTTTACAACTGTAAAAGCTTCAGAAAAATGAATTTTTGTTTAAATGTATATATAGACAGTAATTGATCGAGCGATAGTAAAATAATCAAATGTACTGAGAGGTCTAATAAGCCTCTCAGAAGTAATATGTTCAATAGACTATAAGTGGAATCCTGAACAACATCCAGAATCTTCAGAGATGGGAAATTTCTACTTGAAAGGACAGGCAGACCAGCCTGGAGCAGCTAGATGAACAGAAGATACTTCTTGAAAGAAAGACCGACAGGAAAAATACAAAACAATATAGGCAGGCAGACTGATTACTATAAGAACAAGCAAGTTGTTCTCCCAGAAGACATCAAGGCAAGTGGTTGGGTCCCCTCAGAGCAAACCCCTTTCCAAAACTAAGACTCAATGGGAATACACGCTCTGATTAGTGACCACGTTCGTCACCAATAAGGGGAAGTGAGGGAAAAACAGCAATGAAGCTGCAAACTAAACCCTACAACGTTCAACAGACTCCTGTGAACCCGGGTGGAGACCTGGTTGACCAGCAGAGTAGCAAGACCTGGGGACTCTTGGGCCCAGAGTCAGTTACACAGCCACAGAAGACTAGAGTGGAGAGTGAAGCATCCAGCTGATAAGAAGAGAGGGCATATGCATAGGAACACCCACACTAGCAGATAATACCCACTTGACCTGGCTTCAATGACTGGATGATCAGAACTCAACTAGAAGAAAAAAGAAGAGGAAAAATAGAGTATCTGATACAATTTCATGAACTTGACCTACACCCATGGATGCAGTAGCTCAAAAGAGGGAACAAATCTTTAAAGCAAAGGTCATTCTCACCCCCTCCATACACAGAGTAGACAGGGATGGGCAACTTGGACATTGGCTACCCAAAATGGGGAATGCTACAAAGGCCAGAAGTGACTGGCTTACAAACTTTCAAGAGGGAACCTAGATCCAGAGGGAGTGGAGGAAGGTAGAATCTCCACTGAGTAGTATCCAATCTGTCTACACGGGGCTGATGAAAGGAAATGTGATTTGTCTCTTGTGATACAATAGTGAATAATTATTATCAGGACTGATTGTGAGGGTTGGAAATGTAAAGGTAAACATTTTGTAGCAAGGAGGGGAGTGATTAACTTTGCAGTCTAGGAGCAGAGGTCCCTAGGACCATCAACAGAGAAGAGCGGAGAGCAGGACCCTACCCAGAGAAGCAGTGACGCCAGAGATGAAGGCAGAGATAATGAGGTGGAGAGATGGAGCAGCTGGGGACTTTAGATACAGAGATGGAGAAGGGCTGTGTGCTGATGACCACGGGACAAGCTTGAAGGGTTTACCCTTTGAATGGTTGATGATGCATGGAGGGGATTGTATACATGGCAATGAAACGATATACGATAGGATGAATGTAAAACTAATGTTCTCCCATGTAAACTATCACATAATTCACAATAAAACATTAAAAAAAAAAAAAGAAGAAGTAGTAATACGTTCTAAATAGCCAAGCTGTCCCCCCACCTCAATGTTCTCAAGTGGATCCAGGCTTAGTTAGAGAAGGTATATGGGTGTTCTCTCAAATGGTCCAGGTGTGAAAATTTTTTTTCTTAATAAAAACTTGGGGGGTTGACTGCTGAATTGATGTATGTTTTGCTGTGTATATTCTCAAATACAATACCAAAACTAAATTATTTTTGAAAAGGTGCATTGAAGGGTAATCGTTGGTGTGAGACAGGATGGTGGTGGAGGGGAATGAGTGGCAGGCATAAGGGGGATGGATAGTCTTAGTCCTGTTCTGCTTCTTCATCCGGCTGTTGGTGACATGGGTGTGCTTACCACAGGAAAACTCATTTATGCCCTTGTGTACTTCCTTACTGGTGTATGACAATGATGTCTATAAAAAAGTTTGGCGGAGGGGAATAATAACCTGTCTCAACACTTCCTTCTCATAGAAAGCCCACATCCACCTTGGCAAACCTCACCAGCCTTGGCATGCTCTCTCCGAGCTTCATTCAGTCTCCTCTCTGTTTCCGACAGCTGTTCCCGCAGCCGAGTTTCCACCTCAGCCACCTTCTCTTGCAGAGCTGGGGTGAAGGTGCAGATGGGATAGCGGGTTTTAGGAGGAACCCTGGCTCTTGGCTCCCACATGCACCTGATACGGGATCGCACCTTGCCCATAGACCTCCTGCTGCTGTGTGAGCTCTCGCCGTAGGCTGGCGGCCTCCTCCGTGCTCTCCTGCTGGCCCTGGCGAGCCACTTCCAGCTGCAGCCCCACACTGGCCAGGGATTCCTGGGCTCGCTGTAGCTCCTGCTCCAGCTGCTGGGTCACCTCACTGAGCTGCTTCCGCTCTGCCTCCCCTGGAGGAGATGGCACTCAGCAACACTCCACATCAGACCCTAGATGCACCTCTTCTTCTAGGTCCCCCTTCCCCATCACACCTGTGGGTGACACTGGGCCCTGGGCTACCTTGCTCCCGGGCCCGGCCCACCTCCTGCTGGATGAGGTGGGCGCTTAGCTGCAGCTCTGCATCCAGACGATTTCGCTCTTCTCGAAGCTGCTGTAACTCAAGGCTTACATCTGTGGCCACTGGGGGTGGGCGTGGGGGTGGGGGGCAGCTGAGACAGGAAGAGGCAGTCAGGGGAGCTCACCCAGCATGAAACCCTACACCCCTGGCCCTCCTCACTGCTTTGGGTCCCAGCAAACCACACCCCAAGGCCCACTCTCTTCCCCCACAGATCTGGGCCCCAAACTTCACCTCTCCTGACGCAGCTGAGCAAGGGCCACTTTCCGAGCCACCAGACCTAAGAGGGGAAAAGGTAGACAGCAACAGAAAAGTGAGTTTTCAGAGGGAAAAACAGGAGGTGGAGGATGGATCTGGGATCAGATCCATGGGAAACTGGTAGGGGTAAGGGTAGAAGATGGCTAACAGCGGCCCTACCCACCCTGAATGGTGTGGACCTTGCGGGCAGCATAGTTGAGTCGGTTGCTGAGGCTGGGAAGCCGAGCGACAGCCTGCTCCACCTTGGCCATGGTGTTCTGGAGCCAGATCTGCGAGCTGGAGAAGGCACAGGTCACTGACCCTCACCTCATCCCCAAATGGCCTTGCCGGGCCTTGTACAGATAACTTGCTCTATCCTGAGCTGTTACACAAGAGAGGAATGTGGGGAAGGGGTAACAGGAGGGGGAAAGAGAAGCGGGAGCAGTGGCAAGGTCAGACTTGTAATGCGCACTACTGCCTATCTTCCTGCCTCAGTCCCTTTGCACTGTCACATAACAATGACCCAGCTCCACAGTTTTTTTAGAAACAATAGGGGTAAGTTAGAAGAAATGGTGTATCCCTCCTACACAAAACACATGTTTTAAAAAGCAGCAATTTTTCAGCAGATAAGTAAGAATGAATTAGGGGACCAAAATGCAAAACCAAAAATGAAGCAGCTGTATGTATTGTAATGGCTAGTTTGAACTGTAATTGAATATTGTAACTCCGTATGTTTTATACTGCATTTTTATCAATAATGATGGTTTAGACTTTAATAAGAGAAATCCTATCGTTTTTAATATCACAAAAAATAAAGACTATTTCATCCCTAAGACTGTGGTCTTTAGCCACCCTGAGGTCTGGACCTGAACTCACTCTCATGGCTCAATGTTTAGCCAAACAATAGACAGGTCTTTAAGGAGAAGAATAACATGAGAGACATACACATTCCTTAGAATAATCAACCATCTGATATCAAAAGAGCAGCATTTACCCAAGGGCAGAGTTCAGAAAGTTTAGGAACTGAGGAATGGGAGCAGGAATCCCAGGGAAGAGTGGGAGAAGTGATTTACATTGAGGGGATCATAATCAATGACAGGAAACAAATGTGTATGAACTGTTGCCAGGAAAACAGGTTTGTTCTGTACACCTTCACCCAATTCACAATGCAGTTTAAAAAGTTAATAATAATAATCCAGTGAGCTGCCTTTAAGCTGAGACTCCTTTTTTTAAAAAAACTAGTTTTAGAAACCCACTGAGGTATTTCTAGTCTGTCCTACAGGGCTGCTGTGGGGCAAAACCAACTTGACTCTAGGGGAAGACTTGGGTTTTTTTTATTTTAAGGTCAATAAAAAAGAATGGGGGGAAAAAAAAAAAACCTCACTCAAAACTATTCTCAAAAGCAATATACTAACTAAAATGAATGCCTGAATATATTAAGATAGCTTTAAACCTTTTTTTTGCTTTTGCTTTAACTGTCACCTACAACATAAAAGCATAGGATTATCAGCACATGCTAGACTGAAAGGTCTGCACGGATGCAGTTTGTGAGCAGGTACTGAGGCTGTGTTGGGCACTGCAGATCATTTTTCTATAACAGATCGTCTACCAAAAGATTTTCCTTGTTGTTGTTCAGTGCCATCGACTTGGTTCCAACCCATAGTGACCTTATATAGGGTTTCTAAGGAGTGGCCAGTGAGCTTAAGCTGCCAACCTTCAGTTCAAACAGCTTTGCAGTCTGGCACATTAACCCACAGTACCACACCAGAACTCATCAAAAGATTAGGTGAGACTTAACAAATGAGGTGCTTATGACCTACTAAGGGGATTGGACGGCATGCTAAAAATGCAAATACATTTTTGTATTGCAAATGACAGCAAAGTATGTCCTTTGGACCCAGGGTCTCTGTGCTGAAAATCTCGTGGGTACTTATTGTTACTAAGTACCTCGGAGTCAGCTCCGACTCATAGTGACCCTGTTGAGGGTTTCTAAGGAGCAGCTGGTGCATTTCAACTGCCGACCTTGTGGTTCATACTGCCCTGTCGGTGCAGTGCATTAACCCACAGCACCACATCAGGACTCAGGGTACCTACTGGAAGAACTAAAAAGCTTTGTAACACTTGCCCAAGCAGCGTAGAGGCCTGAGCTAAGAGGCTGAGGAGCTGAGAGGCAAAGGCCAGAGAGTCGTACGGGAGGCATGGCTGAAAAGAGGCTGTCCTAATCAAAGAACTGTATCCTGAGTCGTTCCTGATCCTGAATTATAACCTGTTACTTCCCAACAACTTCCCTAATAAACCCCATAATCCTGAGTATTGTTTATGAGTTCTGTGTGGCCACTGCAAAGAATTACTGAACCCAGCAAATCCTCAGAGTGCTGTAGGAGGGACAGTTGAAGCCAGAATTTAAAAGTTTGAAGAGGTCTGACCTTGGCTTTATAGAAATTAGCCTAGGGCTGTTGACCTTGATCTTCTTTCTCCTAGTGAAGTTAGTGGAGGTCAGATGCCTCTGGCTGGCTGTGTGCTGGCTCACAGTGACCCTGTAAAGATTTCTGAGGTTCTAAATCTTTATGGGAGCAGAAAGCTTCATCTTTCTCCCACAGAATGTCTGGTGGACTCAAACTACAGACCTTGTGGTTAGCAGCCCAATGTGTAACTCACTACGCCATCAGGGTTCCTTCACATTTCTCTAAAGTATTCCACAGTCCTTTTCTGGGGTGTAATGCAGTGCCAATTTATATAGCTGCAGTGGTGCCACAGGATAAACACAGGACTTCAAGTCAGTTTGAACCACAAGGTCGGTGGTTCAAACTTACCAGCTGCTCCTTGGAAACCCTATACAGGGTCTCTGTAAATTGGAATCAACTTGACAGCACTAATCAACAACATTTTTATTTAATTTGCATCACTTTGATTAACTCCTTGAATGGAAAGGCAAACAATTTCCTTTTCAGCTGACCAGCCCTCTTCATGGGGTGGGAGACAATTGTGTGAATATTGGTAATAACTGGTATTTAAGATCAAATAGCTTTGCTGTTTGAACTGCAAGGCTGGCGGTTCAAGCTCACTAGCTGCTCCTTGAAAACCCTATACAGGGTTGCTATAGGTCGGAATCAACTCTACGGCACTTAACAACAACTACAACAAGATCAGAAACAGTTCTTTGCTTGCCTAAAGGTTTGACAGTAATCCTTACAATAACATTGCTAAGGATTTGTGGAAATGTTAACATTTGATAATAAAATCATCTGTTCAATCTTAAAAGAAAAAAAAAGAGAGAGAGAGAGATCCAGTTAGTTCCTCAAAAGAAAAGCACAGTTATCCCTGATACGCAAACCCAGCAATCAGTGTCTTTAATAACAGTCCTTCAGGGAGTCATGGCTTATCTGGACCTAGATACATAACAAGGAGCTCTGGCAGCATAGTGGTTAAGAGTTGGGCTACTAATCTCAAGATCAGCAGTTTGAGGGAGAAAGATGAGGCTTTCTGCTCCCGTAAAGATTTACAGCAATGAGTCTGAACCAACTCCACGGCACACCACCATCACCACCAGATACCATAACAGTATTTAGTAAAATCAATGCTCTAGGGATAAAACGGGGTTCTGGTGTGTCGCCATGGGTTAATGCACCAGACTGCAAAACTGTTTGAACTGCAAGGCCAGTGGTCTAAGCTCACAAGTGGCTCCTCGGACACCCTATACAGGTTCGCTATAGGTTAGAACTGACTTGACGGCACTTAACAACAACAACAGGAATAAAACAGCGGCTACCAGCCGCTCCGCGGGAGAAAGATGAGGCTTTCTACTCCCGTAAAGATTTACACCCCTTGGAAACCCTGTACTGGGTCGCTATGGGTCGGAACTGACTCGATGGCACTTAACAACAACAACCAGGTAATGTAGTGGTTACGTAAAGGGCTGCTAACCTCAAGGTGAGCAATTCGAAACTACCAGTCATTCTGCAGGAGAAAGATGAGGCTTTCTGCTCTTGTAAAGATTTACAGCCTCAGAAACCCTGTGCAGGGGGTTACTATGAGTTGGAACCTACTCCACGGTACTTAACACCACCACCAGGTACCAAAGAGCTGCCTATTCTGTAGCAGGTTTAGACCTGTCCCTTACAGACTCCTGACTAGGTCTGGTGATCCTGGGAGTCCCCTGGCGCTATATGCCACAGTTGGGGTGCATGAACTGGTGACTGCCACCAGGTTTTGGAAGGGTATCGGCCCCACAGAATCATTAAAGCATCTTTTGAAGCAATCCACTCTTTATCTCTCGTTGTTTTCACTCTCCCTCTCACAGCCATCGAGTCTCACAGTGACACTCACTATCCAGGGTTTCCAACACTGGACATCTTTAGGGGAGAAGACAGCCTCATCTTTCTCCTGCGGAGTGGCTAGTTGTTTTGCATTACTACCCTTGCAGTAACAGCCCAGTGCTTACCCAACAGAGCCACCAACACTTTTTCTTTTTTATCACTATTAGCACTGGAATGCAAACCACTAGGTGAGTAGTTCAAACCCACCAGCTGCTCCTCAGAAACTCTATACAGGGTCTCTATGAGTCAAAACTGACATGACAGCATTTAACAATATCATGCATCAAAGACCAAAATTATCCTTTCCAATAAGTGTAGATTCTTCAATACTAATAGACAGTAGCTCCATGTGCTTTGTGGGCTGGCTATGCCAGATGCAGGACTGACACCAGTTCAAGAGAGCTAGAGGCCTAAGCAGGCCACAGGTCCCCAGGGAAAAGGGTCCCACAGGGTGTCTAGGGGCAGGGCTGGGACTTCCTCAGGAGCATCCAAGTCTGTTTCAACAGAAAAAGACAAATGGATCACAAAGGCCTGAATCTGGTATCCCAAACACCACAGCAAAGGCAACTTATACCTGGAAATTGTTTTAAGTAAATGCTTCTAACACTTAGAGAAGTACTGGTATGATGCTGTAGGATCAGCACTGGACTGCTAACAAGATCAGTGGTTCAAACCCACCAGTCACGATGCATCAGAACCAGCTCAAAGGCACTTACCAACAAAAACAATCCAACATTATGTATAATGTTTCTGAGGAATGGCTGGAGGGTTTGAACTGCCAATCTTGTAAATTAGCAGTCCAGTGCTGATCATAGGACTCCCAAGGTGACTCTTACTAAAGTCACTTTTTGACTTTTAAAGGTTAGACAGTAACTCAGATACCTTAAAGTCCAAAGGTAAAAAGAGGTTTTCCCATAGAGATCTTTTTCAAGGTGACTGATGTTGAGTGCCATTGAGTTGGTTCTAACTCATAGCAACCCTGTATAGGGTTTCCAAGGAATGGCTGGTGAGCTTGAATTGGCAACCTTGCAATTCAAAGCAACCTTGCAGTCCAGCACATTATTAACCCACAGCACCACACCAGAACACCGTACAGCGACCCTGTATGGGGTTTTTAAAGAGAAGCTGGTTGGAACCACTGACTTTGTGATTAGCAGTCCAGTGCTTATCCTACAGCGCCACACCAGGACAGAGGGTAGGTACGAGTTACCTTGAGTGAAAAATAAGTTTTTTTTAAAAAACAAAAAAGAGGTGGCAATGGAACAACTAGGAAGTTGGTATGAGCAATAAAGGCTTGCAACTGATTAACAAGGAAACTGACATACATTTTGGGTGGAATTTCTAGTAAGCAATTAGGTGATACTACTGTTGTTCAGGAGCTCTGGTAGTGTAGTGGTTATGAATCAGGCTGTGAACTGCAAAGTTAGCAATTTGAAACTACCAGCTGTTCGCAGGAGAAAGATGAGGCTTTCTGCTCCCGTAAAGATTTACAGCCTCGGAAACCCTGTACTATGAGTCAGAACCGACTCCACGGCACATAACAACAACAACTGTTGTTGTTAAGTGCCAGTGAGTTGATTCTGACTCTTAGTGACGCTGACTAGGGTTTCCAAGGAGCTGCTGGTGAGTTTGTACCACTGACCTTGTGGTTCAAACGGACCTTGTATTCCAGTCCTTTACCATACCAAGTAGGTGGCAGTGTTGTTGTTAAATGCTGTCGAGTTAGTTCCAACCCACACCAACCCTGTATAGGGTTTCCAAGGAGCGGTTGGTGACTTTGAACTGCTGACCTTGCGGTTCAAACCAACTTTGCGGTTCAAACCTTGCAGTCCAGCACAATATCCTGCAGTGACATACCAGGACTCCAATTAGGTACAGAGTTTCAAAATTAAACAGGTCATGCCTGTAAATTCAGAAAAAAAAAAAGGTAGAAAGAGAAGGGATAGAGGACTGAAAAAAAAGGTTGAATGAAAGAAAGACCAGAAAGAACCAATCAAATACCTACACTCCCACATGCAGGAACTTGTGAAGCTGGAGCTCCTCCCAGGTGTGCTATAAAGCTCCAGCTGTTAAAAGACTGAACTGCCGACAGAGGAAGCATCACCTTACCTTACCAGCCCACCCCACCCATACCAGAACACTTCTGAGGACTTCACAGAAGCTGCTCCCAGTGTGAATGTAGAGGGGGCTACCGCAGGAAAAACAAACCCAATGACTTTTAGAGCATAAGTGCCTTTAGCCAGCTTTCCAGCTCCTCTTGCCTGAGGCCCTCAGACCCCAGGTACCCTGGAAGCTGAGAAGCAGAATCAACTCCTAAGCCTCCTTCCCAGGTACCTGCACACAGAACTGGCCACCAGTTTCAGATGCTCCTCTTCTGTTGCCATCTGCTGCTGCTGCCTGCGCCGGGCTTCCAGAGCTCGGCTCAGCTCCCCCTGCAGGGTCTGGGAAGGATGCGGGACACTGCAACAAGCCATCCCCGGCCCCCAGCATACACACAGACCCACCCACCGGAGAGCCTGTGATTTCAGACCCAACCTTAGCGTTGACCCGCTCCACCTCCACCTCTGCAGCCTTGTCCTGCAGGGAGCGCTGCAGGATGACCTGCTGGTGGCTCTGCGCAGCAACTTTCTCCTCAAGCTCAGCCACCTGAGTAGGAGAAATGGCTCAAAATTGCAGGGGACTAGGGATGAAGGGGGCCAGGGAAGGGGTTGCTGAAAGGATGTCATGCAGGGAGATACGAAGCGTGGGCCAGTTTCCTTCCAGAAGCATGCTCTATGTAGCTTTATGTGCCCACACCTGAGGAACTGTCCCATGACCCTTCAATAAGGACCCACCACCTCAGACCTTAGATGGGTCACCTCCTCAGAGAAGCCTTGCCTGACCATCCCACCTACTGTTGTACCCACCCCACCATCTCTCTCTGCTACGGTGTCCTTTATATTTTTCTAAATGGCATGCACAATTGCTTGACATCACTGGATTGCTTACTTGCTAATCCAAGGCCTCACTTGGTCTTTTATCAGGGCTGTATACCCAGTGTGTGGCAATCAGTGGATCAATTTTGATTGGCTAAATGAACACCTTTCTGTTATGTATGGAGTAAGGGGTTAGCAGGGGAATCACAGGGAGAAAATGAATCAAGTCACCTGTCCCTTCAGCTGTTCTGTGTACTCTCTGTGGCCCAGCTCTTGGGTCTTCAGCTGCACCATGAGGGAAAACACTTTCTCCCGCCAACAGGTCAGCAACGACTGGAACTTCTTGGTGAGCTCAGGCTCCAGGGACTCTGAGGGTTGAATCTGTAGTGGGAGGAAGTGGGGAAGGGAAGTGTGGGCTTAGAGGAAGGAAGGAAGGATGAGGCCTCCTTTGTTTTTCCACTGTCCCACCAAGAGTAACAGGAAGTCAAATCAAGAAGTGGGGTTCAAGGAACAACCCTGGGCAGTTCTGTAACACACCCACCTGTCCTGCATGAAGGGAGTGGCTGGGACAGAAGGTATACAACTCAGGGACGTGGCCTACCTTGTTGGCCATCTCCTCTTCCTGCAGGCTGAGGATATAGGTGAGGCTCTGCACCCGCACCTGCAGCAGCTCGGAGGTGGAGCGCAGGGTGTCCCGGTCCTCCTGCAGGCGCTGTGCACAGGAGAGGAGCTGCCTGCTGGGGCCTTCCACGCTTGCCTTTCCTTGGCCTAATCACCCCAGCAATTAGTCTCTGCACCCTCCCTACTCCAGGACCTGGCCTCTGAGCCCTCACATTCCACCCAGACCACCACCCCCGCAACACACACAAAGATGTACCCTCTCTCTCACCTGCACAGTTTCTAGAAGCTCCTGACGCTCCAGTTCCCAAGCCTGGCTACGAACCTCTGAAGGGACTTGATCTCCTACATATGTCCTTAGATTCTCAACCAGGGTCACCTGAGCCTCCAAGTCTTCTTTGGTCTTGCTGAAGTTCAAGTGGGACCAAGCAGAGCATCAGTGAGGTATCCTGGAGATCTGCCACACTCACCACTTGCTGGTTCCCTCTGGCGTGGCCAATGCCATCCCATTTACCTCAGCTGCTTCTGTAGCAGCTCAGTCTCCCTCTGGGACATGGCCAGCTCTTTGGCTTCCTCTGCACGCCTGGCTTCCAGGTTATTCAAAGACATCTCCAAGCCCTCAGCCTTGTTGGTCAAACTGGAAAGAGCCTCCTGGTGAGCCGCTGTTAAGCAAGAGAGCTGTGGAGAGAAGATGGGACTCAGCTAGGCCAGCTAACGTCACTTCTAGGCTTTCCCCACCTCTTCCTACTTTGGCCTTATCCCTTCGCTCACTTTCTGGGACCTACGGTAACCACCCAACCAGGCATGCCAAGGAGACCACTCTTGACACCTTCCTCTCCCTGGTCACCCACATCCAATCCATCACAATTCCTGTCTGGTCTTCCCTCAAAGCACAATTTCACTTCTATCTGCATTGTTGCCACCCAAGTTGGTGAGGCCCTGTCCTCATGGATGAGGTTACAGACACACACTAACTACTTGATTTACTCACAATTAGTTCATTGCACCCTCATCTTTTCCCTAGATGACTGCAACAATCTCCTAATGAGTGTTTAAACACCTTAATGATTTACCATTCCAAGGACATAAAGGAATTCAGCCCTGTTTTCTTCCAGTACTTTTTATGGTTTCATTGTTTAACATGTCAGTTTATTAGGATGGTGTCTCAGTTGTCTTTCACAGGTTAGGTGAGGTGGTTGGAGATCTCCATGTATCTTGGCATCTATCTTATCCACTCTTTCTGCGGCTGCTGCTTGTTTAATCTCTTTTAATATCTCCAAAGAAACTGACCCAAAATACACTCTAAACGAATCCTACTGCATGAGCATAACTAAGACCACCCATTCCCAAATAGGATCATAAAATCAGGCATGTGGTGGTAGTTGTGGTTATGTGCTCGGCTAGAGAGGTGGTTCCCACTTATAGCGACCCTGTACAGGGTTTCAGAAACTAAATCTTTACCAGAGCAAAAAGCTTCATCTTTCTCCTGTGGAACAGGTGGTAGTTTCGAGCTGCTGACCTTGACATTAGCAGCCTGACTTGTAACCACTATACTACCAGGGCTTAAGAGGTTAGGGTTTACAGTACATATTTTGAGGGATACAATTCAAGCTCTAATAGGTAACGTCCCTTGGTGTCCCGCCCCTGTCCAGTCACACCAGGGTTCCCTGGTGTCTCCTTCATGGCACTTCTCTGAATTGCAGTTCATTGTTTAGTAAGTCTCCCTCACTGGACTGTAAACTCACCAATGAGGGCAGGGCCTCAGGCCCATTGATTACCAGCTCCTATGCTAAGAGGAAGCACTGATAAAGGGGTAACTGATGTCCCTCTCCCAGTTCCCTGTAAGCCCCCACTCCACCTCCTCACTCTCCCCACTTGCATCACTCTGGATAAACTGGGTCCTAGAGTGAAGTATGGTGGTGGTGGTGTGCTGTGGAGTCGATTCTGACTCACAGTGACCCTGCATAGAGTTTTCAAGGCTTTAAAACGTTATGGGAGTAGAAAGCCTCATCTTTCTCCCTTGGAGCTACTGGTGAATTCAAGCTGCTGGCTTAACAGCCGAGTATGTAATGCACTATGCTACCAGGGTCCTATAAAGGTCTTAGAAGGGGAAGGAGGGTGCCAAGGGGTGGAAGGGCACCTGAATACTGGGAAAAGAGTGGAATCTAAGTCACAAACACCCAAGTTCTTTCCTGGTCACCTGTTTTTCCTTTTACACCAAAGATCTCAGAACTGCACTGCTCCTGCAGCCAATTCTGTGGCGTCTCTGTTCTTCTGGAAAGCTACTGCCCAGTTCACCCTGTTGTGAAACTGAGCCCTTCCCACCCTAGCATTCACCTGCTCTTGGTGCAGCCTCTGAACTTCCTCCAGCTCCCGTTGGCTCCCTTCTTCCAGGTTCTTCCGGATGACCTCAGCCCCAGCCAAGGCAGCTCTCAGACCCTCAGCCTCAGTTCTGCCAGCTTTCTCAGCCCGTGCTAGGGCCTCCAGCTCCATGGCTTGGGACTCAAGCCTTATCTTCTGTTGTAGTGAGGTCTCTCTCAGGAGCCGGACCTCCTCCTCGAACTGCCGCAGCTCTTGCAGCTGCCGAGAGATCAGCTCAGCCTGCTGAGTCAGGGCCTGAGACCCCTCTATAGACCTTCAAAGACAGGTTCATGTAGGTGAGACCTCTGCAGAGGAATCATGAGGAATACTACTACACAAGGATCTCTGCATGTACATCACCATTGTCCTTCATCGTGGCCCTAAGCATATTAAGTCCACTGTAGGATCAGCACTGGACTGCTAATGACAAGGTCGGCAGTTCAAACCCACCAGCTGCTCCTTGGAAACCCTATACAGGGTTGCTATGAGTGGGAACCGACTCGACAGCACTTAACAACGACGACATCTGGGCTCACAGGACCTAAAGGCTAGCTAAGGTCACAGAACCCGAAGGGGCTTCAAAATGTGTGGGAAAATTCCATTGTCTTTAAATTCCATTTTTCTATGAATTTTTTTTTAAACTTTTTGTTGTGAAGTGAGTGAAGGTTTACAGAGCAGATGATCAGTTTTTACATTCAATAATATGTATTTCATAACAGTCAGTGCAATCCCCTCCATGTACCACAAATTAACAGTATTTACCTCTATTCGCTTTAACTATTTCATTCTTTCTTGTGTCTCCCGCTACCTTCATCTTTCCTCTGCCAACCTCCTTCATGTTGTCTACTGCCTGCCCTGTCACCCATGTTAACATGTGTCACCCTCTAGCCCATGAATAATTTTCCCTCCTGCCTTAGCCTCCCCTCCCCCCACCATAACCATCATAGGCAGTTTCTTTTATTAAGAAAAGCTTTTAACTTTTTGCCACATTGGTCTCAACAATTTGTCATTTTGTGATTCACTAATTTCACTTAGCATAATGTCCTCCAGGTTCATCCATGGGGTAAGGTGTTCCACAGACTCCTCATTATTCTTGAACATTGTGTTGTATGTATGTACCGTGGTATGTACCATTGCATGTATGTACCAAAGTTTGTTTAACCATTCTTCAGTTGCTGTACATTGAAGCTGTCTCCATCTTTTTGATGCCTCTTGTAGATAGCATATTGAAGGATCCTGTTTTCTTATCCATACTGTCTGTCTCTTGACTGGAGCATTTAATCCATTTACATTCAGTGTAATTACCAACAGCTATGAATTGATTGCTGTCGTTTTGCTGTGTTTTTTTTTGTTTTTTGTAGTGCTGCAGGTTTCTGTTTCATGTGATTTTCTGTGCTGAATTCACTTTGAGGGTTTTCTTTTCATTTCCATTTCTGTTGTGTTAATGCTTACTAAATCTTCCTGATTTTCCTCTTTTTTAATTTTGATGTGCATATGTATTAATTTTGGGGGTCAAGTCCAGGTTATCCGGAATTTACTAAATTTTTTTCCCTATTTAAAACAGTTACGTTTCCTCTTGAAATCTACTTAACTTCCTTACCATTTGGAAGTTCGGTATCTACACTATTTCTTCTTTTTGCTTTATAGTTGACCACAATATAAATTGGTATCTCTCTGATTCCCATTTGCTGTCTTGCGGGTTTGTTTTACTTTGTTGTTGTTAAGTACCGTGGAGTCGGTTCCAACTCATTGTGACCCTGCACAGGGCTTCCAAGGCTATATAAATCCTTATAGGAGCAGAAAGCCTCATCTTTCTCCCATGGAACAACTGGTAGTTTTGAACCGCTGACCCTGAGGTTAGCAGCCCAATTCGTAACCACTACGCTACCAGAGCTCCTTTGTTTTACTTTACACATGTCTATATCTGGATTATAGTCCTGGTGTGGCACTACAGGATAATGCTCTGGACCACAAGGTCAGTTTGAACCATGAGGTCGGCAGTCAAAACCCACCAGCCCCTCCTCCGAAACCCTACACAGAGTAGCTATAAATCACAATCAACTCGATGGCACTAACAACAACAACAAAATATCTGGATTGAGTTCTGGGTGTTGTTGTCATGTATGTCATCTCAGGTTGGTTCAATTTGTAAAATTAGTCTGATCATCACAAATTCCTTCAATTTCTGTTTATAAGGAAGCATTCTGATTTTGCTGAATTCTTTCCTTGTGTTTGGGTTTGCAAAGTTTGATTATGATAAGTCTTGGTGATTTTTCTCCTGGAATCTATCCTGTTTGGGGTTCGTTCAGCTTCTTGTGTGCTTATCTTCTCATCTTTCATGATGTTAGGGAACTTTCTTCCAGCAACTCTTTGACAATATTCTTTGTGTTATTTATTGTCTCTGTTCTGGAATTCCGATCAGGTGTAAGTTGTTCTTCATGGTGTCCACGTAACTCTTAGGCTTTCTTATGACTTCTGATCTTTTCATTCTTTTTTCTGATTGTTCTTCTAGCATACTAGTATTGAAAGATTTATCTTCAAGCTCACTAATTTGGGGTTTCATTGTTTCGAATCTACCTCTATGAAGTTTTTGAAGTCCCGGTGTGTGTAGGTGTGTGAGTGTGTGTGTGTGTGTGTATATATACATACATATATATTGGAGCTCTGGTAGCATAGTGGTTACAAATCGGGCTGCGAACTGCAAGGTCAGCAGTTCGAAACTACCAGCAATGGTAGTGAGGTTGGCCCAGGATCAGGCAGTGTTTCTTTCTGCTGTGGCTAAGGTTGCTATGAATTGGTACCAACTCAATGGCACCTAACAACAACAACAACAACAAATATAGTAAGGCCAGAAGTTAGTTAAAAGCATTTATTGAGTGTTCACTATACTATATTGTACCTCAATAAATTACATAGTCCCTACCTTTACAAAGTACAGTTACTGGTGTTGTGTAAAGTTTACACTAAGTTATACCAAGGCTCTTGAGACCGCTTCCTTACTGAAGTCCAAAACAAAATTACTTTTCAGAAGTGGAGTGATCTATGGCCTAGAGAAATTCAGTAACTGGCAACAGTCTACCAGCTGGCAATTAAAACAGCATTAGAGGGTCTCCATCTCCTGACACCCAGTCCAGGACTCCCCATTCTTCACCATGCTCTTTCCTCTATGATGGGGTCTAAGGTAGACACATGTGTAAGCCCATTGTAGAGCAAAATGGCAGTATGACATTCCAGTATATTTGGGGGAAGCACACATAAACATCAAGAAGTGTTACAGACAACAAATCAACAAATAGCATGGTCAGCTCTCAAGCCTTGTCCTCTAAAAGTTTCCTTCAACTACTCTATCTACACCCCCACAGTTGTTTTTAGGTGTTGTCAAGCAGATTCAGACTCATTGCAACTCACTGTGACAGAGCAGAACTGATCCATAGAGTTTCAAAGGCTGTAAATCTGCTGGAAACAGATCACCAGTCTTTCTCCTGCGGAGTTACTGAGTGGGTTCAAACTGCCAACCTTTCAGTTATCAGCACTCAACTATTGTGCCACCAGGGCTCCTTTACCACCACAGCACCAGATTTATAGTCTAGGTCCACACGTCGTGCTTATTAGGATCAGCTGTTAGCCAATGTATCTCCTTTCCTGGGATTCTCATTTCTTTACTATCAGAATCTCACATCCATTTTTCTTATCTCCAACCCAACCTCTAGCACACTGCCTTGTTGTTGTTAAGTACCGTGGAGTCGATCTCGACTCATATTGACCCTGCACTAGGTTTCCGAGGCTGTAAATCTTTACAGGAGAAGAATGCCTTATTATGTGTTATTGTTATTAACTGCCATTGGTTGGTTCTGACACATAGCAGCCTTGTATAAGGTTTCCAAGGAGCAGTAGGCAGGCTTGAACTATCATCCTAGTGGTTAGCAGTCCAGTGCTTATCCTACAGCGTTACACCAGGAGTCCACTTGTATGTTGTAGGGGCCCAATCACTGCTTATGTAAATATGAAAAAATATTGAAACAAAAAACTGAAGCAGGGTAAAGACTGTATTTTGATGACGGGTCAAAGGCAAGCATTCCTGGGAAGATGGCAATGATGAATCCCTACCTGACTCTCCGCCCCGGCTCCTGCCCATCACCAGAAGCATCCCGTTCCCACATGGCCACTTGAGGTCTCAAGTTGTCTAGCCGCCTCTCTGAAACATCTTGATGGGCTGGGGATTGGACCAGAGGAATGTCTGATGCCCAGGATGGTGCCATTCTTGGCAGAGTTGGAAGGGACCGAGCTTGGAAGTGCGATGGGGGAATTAGCCCTGTGGAACCTGAGGAATCACACGGGCACAGATGGTCAGTTATCCAGGGAGAGGTAATCACCAGGCCCCTGCTTTGTCCCACTGACCTGGAGGTTGCAACATCTCCACATTATTTGAAGGTTCTAGATTCTGTCTCCAGCCATCCATGCTCCCCTGAACAATTGAAGAAACAAAGACACTCCCAATTCAATTTCTCAGACCTATTTCCAAGGACAGAGTCCCTACAGTAACAAAGTTACCTTCCCTAACAGCAGCCAGATCCACCCCCCTCAACTCCTCTTAGTTCCTGAGAGGAGATACCCAAGTTCACTTAGCTGTCTTGACACTTCTGGCAATAACCACAGAAAGAAGGAATTTACTGAGGAGGGATGCTCTCAGATCCTACTCATATTTTTAAGATTCTGGGCAGTGCCTTTACCGTCTTCCGTAAGCTTCTATAGTCTCTTGTGGTCCTGCGCATCGAAAGTATGGAGTCCATGGGCTGAGAGCGCAATCTCCAGAGCTCTCTCCACGGCTCAGCAAGGCCTTGAGAAAGACCATCCAGACACCACCAAGCCATGGCTCCTGGTTCCTTCCTTATAAAAGTGCCAGACAAAGGCCTGGCCCCAGATGAACGTGGCCACATGCAGGGAAAAAACGCCTTCCCAGGGTCCCTGGGAACACAGCCAGCCTAGATCCCCAGGCAGAAAGGCCAGCTTTCTGCCATCTCACTCAATCCCTCCGGCCAACTTTCTACAATCCTCTCAGCTTCCATTCCTGTTGCCCACAGTCCCTTCTCCACAGTCCTAGAGAATAGAGTGGTCTCTTCAACATCCTTCCCCCATCATCCCACCCCAATCTACCTATTTTTTTAAATGGGGTTATTCCTACTCCAATCTCTCCCTACATCCTAATCTGCGTTCATCATAAAGGTTCGTCAGTCTCACCCTCATCTCCCAACTCTGTCTGTTCTCGCCCTACAGATGGTTCTCAGTTCTCATCCCCTGCTCTCTGCAAACACCCCTGCGCCCACACCCTGTGGGGCTTCCTGCCCTAAGGCTATTCTACCTTATCTGGCCCCTGTTCCCCTCTTTCCCTAAGGACTCCTGAAGCCCACCCCGCACCACCCCCCTCAGCTCTTTCCCACCCCCAACCGACTCTTCTCGAATGTCCCTTACCAAGCGCGAGAGCCCCCCTCTGGCCTTAGGCCATATCCCCTAGCCTCGTTCGGGGCCTTGGATTCCACCCCAGACTGCGCCTGCGTAAAGCGGGCGGGTTGGCGGCGCGGACGTTTCAAGCTCAGTTACTCCGCAAACCGAGAAAGGAGGAACAAAAAAAAAAAAGAGGAAGGGAGGAGCGATGGGGGGTTGAACACAAGCGCAGTGGCGTCTAGAACTGGGACCAATTAAAGTGTTCGAGCCTCTCCGCGCCCTGACGACTCCTCCCAACTCCGGGAACCCGGGAAAACTTGTAAACCAATCAGAAAAGGAGGAAGGCGGGGGTTCGGAGACATTTCTAGTGTACAGCCCAATGAAGTGGAGTGAGGACTAGTGAACTATCCAATCAGGATGGAACGGGGGCGGGCTCCCTCGGCGCGAAGCGCAGACCCGGGAATTCCGAAGGAGGGGTCGCGCGGGCCCGCGCATGGAGGCCCCGCCTTTTCTGGCCTGGCACCTTGCTGTCAAACAGCTGAAGGAGCTAAGGCCGGGGCTGAGGAGCCGGGGGTCCTGGGGCCGCCGTACAGATCCGGTATTGCCTGGAAAGGAGACTACTCCAAGATTGCACTGCGAAGGTAGCTCCGAAACAGGGCTGGGGCCGGGAAGGAAAGGGCTAAGTTTGCCTGGCATGATCGTAGGGAGCTCCTTCCGCTGTGTTCAACCCACCCAAAGACGCTGGGAAGCAGGGGTTTTATTTCCGCTTTGACGGCGAAATTAGGGCCCTTTTCAGGGGGTGACAGTGGATTTGCTTCGCACAGGGTTCCAATCTAAATAGTTAAAGGGTGCTCATTGGCCAGAAAAGCGGGATGCTGGCGAAAGGGGGCACTCCATTTGGCTAAGCAGGTTTGACAGGAAGGAGCAAATTATTTTCTCTGAATTACGCTGAGGAGATGCGCTCTGTGGCAAAGAAGCAAGAACCCCCTCCTCCAGTTTGCATTTCCCCAGAAACTGCCTGCCTAAGGTTCCATTGCTTTACACAGATAGGAGGCGTCCCAAATATTTTGCTGCCTGAGGTTCTGGCTCCAGTATATTCTTGTTTTGACATCGCACCAAGAACCCTCCCCGATTTTTTCCGTTGCAAAGCTACTGGACAGTCAGTTTTGCATTTCGTTCCTAGATTGCTTGCCTCCTGAAATTACTCAGTGAAGTGTGCTTCAGCTGAAATTGCACAAAGCACAAGCCAAGTTTACATCACACTGGAAGAGAGCTTGGACCAATCATACCAGGCCCAGGAGTGGGAAAAGTGATGAATTCCTGAAGTAGAAGACAAGGTTCTGAGAGGCACCGCCCATGCTGCCTTGCTTCCAGCTGCTGCGCATAGGGGGTGGCAGGGGCGGAGATCTCTATACTTTCCACCCTCCCACCGGGACTGGCTGCACCTATCGCTTGGGCCGCAGGGCTGACTTGTGTGATGTGGCCCTGCGGCCCCAGAGAGAGCCCGGCCTCATTTCTGGGGTGCATGCTGAGCTACACGCAGAACTCCAGGGTGATGACTGGAGGGTCAGCCTGGAGGACCACAGCAGCCAAGGTGAGCAGGGCAGACTTGCCCCTGGGCAGGGGCAGAACCAGTCTGGGGTGATTATGGGACTCCATGAGGGCCCTGTTGTTGTTAAGTGCCGATGAGTCAGTTCTGACTCATAGCCACCCTGTATAGGGTTTCGAAGGAGCAACTGGTGAGCTGGAACTGCCAACCTTGTGGTTCAAATCAACCTTGCAGTCCAGCGCATTAACCCTCAGTGCCACACCAGGCCCTAGCTGCCTCCAAACTCCCCATCTGGTTAGATGGACATGTTGTTGTAGATCATCTTTTCTCCAGAAGTCTGGTGTCATTAACCATCTGTAGGGCTGACCCTCCTTGGTGGTCTTCATCAGCTCCTAAAGGGGTTGTATCCAGGGCCTGTTACATCATCGAGGTATCAGTGGGGGTCAGGCTCAGATTTGACTCCGTTTCCAGGTTTGCTAAAGCAGCTTTTCCATCTTTGGGTAGTTATAATATATTTGTTTCAATAGTTAAGATATGCTATATCTTCATGACTTGCACTTGTACCTTTCTCTCTGACTCTAATGCAGTAAAGTCTCAGCCTCAGAAGGTTGATGTTTATGTCCCAGTTCTGCCATTGGCTCCTGATGAAACCTCACTTCACCTTTCTGGGTTTTAGTTTCCTCTCAATTGAAATGTAAATAGTAAGGCTTAGAAGGTCTGATTTGGTAGCTGTGGGGATTCACTCATTATAGTAGCCAGCATTCATTTAGGTCTTACCATTCTGAGTCCTTCCTGGTGTGGTTCTAGTATCAACACTGGACTGTGAACCAGAAGGTCAGCAGTTTAAACCCACTAGCTGCTCCTCAGAAACCCTATACAGGGTCGCGATGGGTTGGAACAGACTCTACAGCTCTTAACAACATTCTGAGCCAGATACTGTTTTAACTGCATTGAATGTTGTTGATGTTAAGTGCCATCGAGTCTGTTCCAACCCGTAGCAACCCCGTATAGGGTTTCTGAGGAGCAACTGGTAAATTCGAACGACTAACCTTGTGGTTCAAACAGACCTTGTGATTGAGTGCTTATCCTACAGCGCTGCAAAGTAGGTGGACATTAATAACCCCATTTTATAGAAAAGGATAATAAGGCACAAAGAGGTTAAGAAAGTTGTCCAAGGACACAGAGTTGGCAAGTGCGGGAGCCAAGACTTGAACCCAGTCTGGCTCCAGAACTATGCTGTTTGAGTTAAAGTTGGGTGAGTGAACTTTTACTGAGATGGAAACCTCAGGAGAATGAAGTTCTTTCCCTCTATGAAGTCCTGGTGTGGTGCAGGACTGGACTGCTAACTGCAAGATTAGTGGTTCAAACCCACCAAGCTGCTCCTCAAAAACCCTATATAGGGTCACTGAGTTGGAACCAACTCGAACCACTTAACAACAACAATGTGCTTACTATCTGGAGTCACCAACTGAGAGGCTTAGAATGTGAGGGAGGGAAGAATTTGATGACTGTGTTCCATGCTCCTCTTGATGGGCCCCAGAAAAGCAAACAGATCTAGATTTCTCCACTCCTGACTCTTCCTTTCTTTTTGTTTTGTCATTCTTTGTATCTATCTGGTGCCCTGCCAACAACAGGGACCTTAGTCAATAATGTCCGACTCCCAAGGGGTCACAGGCTGGAGTTGAGTGATGGCGACCTCCTAACCTTTGGCCCTGAGGGGCCCCCAGGAACCAGCCCCTCCGAGTTCCACTTCATGTTCCAGCAAGTTCGAGTCAAACCTCAGGACTTTGCGGCCATTACCATACCACTATCTCGAGAAGAAACTGGAGCCAGGGGTCGTTTCCAGCCTATGTTGCCTTCTCAGGGGGCTCCACAGCGACCCCTCAGCACCTTCTCCCTTGCCCCAAAGGCAACACTAATCCTCAATTCCATTGGCAGCCTCAGCAAGCTCCGCCCCCAGCCCCTTACCTTCTCCCGGGGTGGGGGTGGGCCCCAGAGCCTACCCCTTTCCACTCCCCCTGGGGAAGCGGGGACCACCTCTTCTGCCCCAGCCCCAGCCCCCAGAAACCGGAGGAAATCAGCTCACCGAGTGTTGGCAGAACTGGATGATGAGAGAGGGCCACCTGAGAGCCCCCCATCAGTCCTCATGGAGCCCAGGAAGAAACTCCGTGGAGAGAAAGCCTCACTGACACCCAGTGGGTAAGTGGAGGGAAATTTCTGCCTCTAGCAATATTTCACTGCCTTCTCCTTTCAGAAACCCAGGCCCTGAGGAGGCACAGGCGCCTTCAGCAGTGGGGTGGGGATGGGAGGTGGGCTGAGATGGAATCAATGTTAGAATGGGGAGACTGACTGTCAGGAAAATATATAGGATAAAGCAGGAGTTAGGTGGACTGGGGGCAGTGGTTATAAAATGGAAGTGGGCAGATAAACACAGACGTTCCTATTCAGGCATCTTCAAACCCACTCTTCTAGTGCCTAAAAACCAAACCAAACCTGCTGTCATCCAATTGGTTCTGACTCATAGCCACCCTATAGGAAAGAGTAGAACTGCTCCCTAGAGTTTTTGAGACTATAAATCACTGGGCCAGCCTTATCTTCCTCCTGGGGAGCATCTATCTATCTGGTGGGATTTAGTAGCTGGCTGATGGCTGACGGACCTGTAAGCCGTGTAATTCTTAACTGCACCACCAGGGTTCCTTGGAAACCTGATACTGGAGTGCACCTAGCAATAACAAAGGCTGAGGACTTGCCGGGCTCAGCCTACAGATTTTCAGCAACTTTTTTCTAGGCTCAGCCTACATTTCAAGGAGTTCCCAGGTTTACCCTGTGCTTATCCAGGGATAATTTCAAGGCTCCTCACACAGGTTTCCAGTGACCCTGGTCCCTTGTGTCTTCCCCTCAACTTCCTAGAAACCGTCGTGGGCGTCCTCGGAAGCACCCAGTGAGTGCCCATTTGGCGCCCCCTGCAGTTGGGGTCAGGGAGCCCTGTGCAGCTCCCCACTGTTGCCTGCCCCAAGAAGAGACAGTGGCCTGGGTTCAGTGTGATGGTTGTGACACCTGGTTCCATGTGGCCTGTGTTGGTTGCAGCATCCAGGCTGCCAGGGAGGCAGATTTCCGATGTCCAGGGTGCAGAATTGGCATCTAGGCCTAAGGCTCAACATCTTGGCACTAAAGGACTGAGCTGGGACCTCCAGGCCAGGGGCCTTAACAATGGAGTGCTAATGGATCTTAAGAAATGCTCCCTTCTTCCCTTCCCTCCTCAGGAGGGAATGACTCAAGGGCCCATTGCCATGGATACTGATTCAGGGACTGGAGCAGGAGCTCATGGCCAAAGGTGACTTGAAGAGATGTTCCCTGCCAAAGATAACTGCCTTCAAGAAGTTATAGCCAATGAATTGGAAATTTCCTGTTGATACATGCTACAAATCTTGTTGCCTCCGGACACCAGGCCTGAGACCAAAGCATCCTGACAAGATGTGTCACATCACCAGATTTGGACATGTGGGTGCTTGTGTCTAAGGAATTCTGGGGAAACCGTAGGTAGGACATGGGCCAAAAATTCCTTGTTATCAGTCTTGTCCTGGTCATCATGACCTTGCTTTTGAGATTCCTTGAATTGACTGTTTCTTTTCCCAAATAAAGCAACTTGATTCACACCTGGCTCTTTACCCTTCTTGGGGACCTAGGGACTAAACTAGATAAGTCTTTGAGTTGATTCTAACTCTTAACAACCCTGTGTGTATGTACATCGCTTCCAGGAGGCTGGTGCGTTTGAACTGCTGACATTGTAGTCTAGTGCTTTTATCGTACAGCACCACACATGTAATATGACATCTTGTCATTAGAGTAAGGTAGTGAGGATGGCAGAACTTTTACAGATTTCACTAGTACTACCAAGGGAAGAGTCCTGGTGTGGTGCTATAGTATAAGCATTGGATTGCTAACCACTAGGTTGGCATTTCAAACCCACCAGCTGTCCCTCAGAAACCCTATATATAAAGTAAATGAATTAGCTTCAACTTGGCCCCTTAACAGAGACAAGTGATAGCGTGGTGTACCAGCTAAAGTGAATGCTGACTGGCTTACTGTGGTGGATCACCATGTAGTCTGTGATTTTTCTCTGGTTACGAATCGGGCTGCGAACCTTAAGGTCAGCGGTTCGAAACTACCAGCCGCTCCGCGGGAGAAAGATGAGGCTTTCTACTCCCGTAAAGATTTACACCCTTGGAAACCCTGTACAGGGTCGCTATGGGTCGGAACCGACTCGATGGCACTTAACAACAACAACACCAAGCCAAGAATTTGTCAGAGCACTGTTTTTAGTTTCTTTTACAAAAACAAAAAAAACCCTTTTTATCATGAAGGACTAAATAGAATTTCTTCATAAGGTCACTGAATTGGAAATGATTCAATGGCAATGCTTGGTTTGGTCTAGAATCTGTGGAAGCACATCACCAGACCTTCCATCATGCTATTAAGATGGATCGGAATCACCAGTGGAACCTAAGATTTTCACTGAGGAAACAGTTCTAGGGTAAGAGCACCTAATAGGACAAGTCACTAATACCATAAGTGGAAACCAAATGAACTCTGGAATCAAGAAAGCACAAGGGAGAATTTCTGATTAGGGTGACAGCAAAAAGGACCACTTGGTTTCTTAGTATAAAGTCACAGAGAACTTCTAGAATACAAATAAAACCAGTTCTTAGCAGGCAACTGAGGACACATGGTGACCAATCCGTTCAATTCAAATTCTCCCCCAGTAACTCATGGTGTATGTAAGCTTCCAAGAATTTGCTTATGTCTAGAGGGCCCACCACCAATAAACTTGGGTTCTAATCTCAACTCTCCCTGTGACCTTGACCAATTTGAATGGCACCTTGGCTTCCAGGGCACTTGCATAGCACCGGACTGCTAACTGTGAGGTTAGCAGTTCAAACCCACCAGCCGCTCCTTGGAAACCCTGTAGAGGGTTGCTATGAGTCAGAACTGGTGGCACAGAACCACATCCCCATGTTCATTCTCTTCAATAATCAAAAGTAGAATAAATCCAAGACAGATGTAGTGGTATCTACTGTCTCCCAGGTTTCTTTATTTAAGAACAAAATGATGATGTGGGGATTAAAATGAAGAGCATCAATGAATTTCACCTTCCCTCCAACCAGCTACCCCCCAAATCTCCTGCCCCCACCCTTTGTTCCCAATTCCTTACTTCCTTTCGTAGAGGAAGAACAACCCCAAAAGCTCTGGTACAAAGCCCAGGGTCCTGTCTCCCCAGCCTCTCCCCTTTCCTCTGCCACCCGTTCCTGGGAAGGACAGGTACCTCAGTTTGAATGCATGGGAGATCCCAGAGAGGGCACCTGGACAGAGGGGAAGGATTCCCCCTCAGAGAAAGGGACTGAGGAGTACAGAGTAGTAAAGTGAGGACCTCCATAACCTGGGGTACCAAAATGGGGCCCTGGTGCCAGAGGAAACGACATTTGTGCCCCTGGGAAAGGAGACCCAGCAGCCTCAAAATCCTCTCGGTGGGCGTAGTCACCGCTGGATCGTTTGCCTTTCTGACGCCGGTTACAGAACCACACTCGGACCACCTGGGGGTCAGACAAAGCAGAGTGCCATTAATTAGATCATTAACTCCAGAAGGTAAAGGCTGGCTTTGCTTGATCATAATAGCCAGAAGAGACAAGAGGGTGGTTGGAGGGCAGGAGCCAAGGACTAGGGCAAGAGGGGCTAAGTGGGGAGAAGTAGGCGATGGACTGGCCCAGGTGGGACACTCACATCCTTCTCAAGTCCAAGCTGCTGGGCAATGTGGCTGATCTGCTGCAGTGAAGGTTTGGGGCACTGCAGAAACAGGTTTTCCAGACTGCCTCTCACTCGATTCTCAATGCTTGTCCGCTTTCTCTTTCGTGCCTGCTGCAGGAGGGTCTCCGTTTTGCATATCTGAGCAGATGGAGAGAAGAGGAGAGGTGAGGGGGAGGCAATGGAGAAGGGAAGACAGGCCTTGAACCAACTGAGCAACAGCACCAAAGAGCCAGCAGCTAAGAGAGTACAGACTGGATGTGCCACCAGTCAGGAAGCAAGACAAAGAAGGATCTAGCAGGGTGGGGGTTTAGACCATGCCTGCAGACCTCCCAGAACTGATGAATGACACCCCATTCCACTGAGAACTGCTGCCCTGATCAGGGAAGAGCTGCAAGCAAAGGCATGGAAACAAAAAGCAAATGGGACCGAGAGGACAGGTCCCTTGTGCCTCCCTGCTCCTGCCCTTACCTCCTGGAGGTTTTCGTTGTTGTCCGCCTCCTCCACCCACTTCTGTAACAGGGGCCTCAGCTTACACATATTTTTGAAGCTGAGCTGAAGAGCCTCAAATCTGCAGATTGTTGTCTGGCTGAATACCTTCCCTGGGAGAGGTTGGTTTAAAGGTACAGAGTTAGGCACGATCAGGCAGTAAGGATCCAGAGTCATGAGGACCCCAAAACAGACCATAACTCTTAGCTGCTCATAAGAAGATACCCCACAGTAGGATCCCACCTCTCTAAGCACAAATATCTCCCCACCTTCTGTTCTTGGGGAAAAGTATGCTCCTTCCTGGGTGTGTGTGTGTGTGTGTGTGTGTGTGAGGCCCCTGTGTGTTACACACATGCTGAGAGAACTCACCAAAGAGAACCCCCAGGGTGAGCCCCACATCGGCCTGGGTATACCCCAGGGTGATCCTCTTTTGTTTTAACAGCTTGGCAAATTGTTCGAGGTCTTTCTGTCTTGTTTTGATGTCCTCGGACTGTGGTAAAGAAATAAAAAAGTAAAGAACTCATAAAAACAAACCTAACTCCCCATATTCCTTCTCCATATTGTTTCTATAGCCTTGAGAAATGGTGTGTGGAAGTGATCTGTCTCCCAGACTGCACTCCTAACACCACCTTCTACTAATGTCATGCACTCTCTTCAAGGGTTCATGCATAACGAACCCCTCTCCTTTCCTCCAACCCCTCTCCTTTCCTCCAGAAAGGTGCACATGCGGGAGAAACAAGCAGCCAAGCAAGATGGAAAGACAAGATAGGCCCTGCCCTCACAGACAACACCTGGCAGGTTACAAGGAGATTCCTTTGTAGCACTGCCCCCGTTAGAGGAAGTTTAGAAAGTAGAGAAATAAAGAACACCATGTCTCTGAAATGAAGATCCAGTATACTCTCCCCAGCTTGCTTTGAGGGACGGGGAGCCCCATAAACTGACACAGGCACATATATACACAAATACACGGCCAAAAAAACCCCAACATCTTTCCATTTTTCCTGAGTCAATCACTTCTCTCACTTAATTCCAGCCACCATCAACTCTGCCCAATCATTGTTGTTGTGAAGTGCTATTGAGCTGGTTCCAACTCATAGCGACCCTGTATGGGGTTCCCAAGGAGCGGCTGGTGAGTCTAAACCACTGACCTTATGGTTTGCAGTCTAATGCTTATCCTGACAGTGCCACACCAGGACTCTGCCTAATTATGGTTGTTAATTGCCTTCAAATTCGTTCTGAGTCAGCAACTCTGTATAGATTTTCCAAGAAGCAGCTGGTGGGTTTGAACCGCCAACTTTGCAGTCTACCCCAATTATATATAGTCTACCCAGATCCCCTCCCCTCTTTTAAGTTCGTGGCAAAAGCAAGCCTATGATCTTTTCATTCCATTTTCCACAAACTTTTTGAAACCACCTCACATTTTGGAACTACAAACAGTGTTGTTTCCAAGGATGTGCAGGGGCAGATTAAGCAGTAAGCGAGGTATGCATGGGTTTAATTAAGCATCCTTACTGCAGTGCACAACTCTACAGATTAGCAGCAAGCATAATTAAACCAGTGCATACCTTTGCTTATTGGGTAATCGATCCATCCCTGAAATCGAGGATTGACTGGTTTGGGCCTTGACAACTGTAGATGGGGCAGAGCAGTTCATGGTGCCATTGGTCTGGAGAAGGAGATTAAAAATGCCATACCATCTATCTATAAATGGCATTTAAAGACTTGAGTGTGGATGAGAGGAAGGAAGCCATAGAAAGAGTAGAAGTTGGAGGAATGAGCTGTAAGGAGCAAGGAAATTGGACAGGAATCACTAATGAGAAAAGAAAAACCAAGCCTCAGTGTAGCCCTGGAGACTTAAGTGTTTCAAGGGTTATCATCAATAACAGTCTTATACAATTCTAAAAGGCCAATTTCCATTTCTAACACCTTCTCAACCAGGGAGTCAATCCTACAAGGAAGGCCCTCTCTCTCACCTTCTCAACTTTTGCAAATCCTATTTTGGGGTTGTAGCATAAAGTAAACCCCAGTTGTAAGTCCTTGCTTCACTGCTTACCAGCTAAGACCCGTGAAATAAGCGAATAATGTCTCCCTAGGAGATTTTGTGATGGACTCAACAGCACTTAACAACAACAACAACAACAATGACGACGACGAGCTAATGATGTAAAAACTGGGCACACAGCCAGGCACTTAGGAAGTGGCCCACAGTTGGCAGCCATTATCATTCAAGGCTCAGCAGTCACCTCCGGCAAAGAGTCTGGGGCTACTGGGCCGCGACTGAAACCACTCTCACACCTTCTACTTTGGGGTTCCTAAAGGCTTAGTACTTGACCTTTAATTGCTTACACTTCTCTCTCTCCCTCAGGAGGCCTGGAAGACACATCTTGAATAGCCCCATCAAGGCTGAACTTTATGTAAAGTCTTCACTCCGTCAGCAAAGCCTATATTTTAAAATGAGCTAAAGATGACATCTTTCACCCCCTTTTTTTCCTTCAGTTTATGAAATTAGGGTTGATCAAAATCAGTTTTCCTTTTCCAGCTGTCTACAAAGGGCTACCAGTGTTGGTGTGGCACTGTGTGGGGTAAAGCACTACCGAAAGGTCAGTGGTTCAAACTCACTAGCTGCTCCTTGGAACTGATCTGACGGCACTTAACATCAACAACAATGAAGGCATGCCAGGGTGTGCTTAATGCTGACTTGCTGGCACCATTGAGGCAGAAGGAGCTGTGTTTGTTGTCTTTTCTGACTCAGTGAAACCACAGGACAGAGTAGAACTGCACCATTAGGGTGGTTTTCCTAGTCTTGGTGTGGCGCTGTAGCATCGACAATGGACTGCTAACCACAAAGTCATCGGTTCAAACCCATCAGCTGTTGCTCTTTGAAACTCTCTGCAGGGTCGCTATGCACTTAAGCTTTAGGAGAGCAGATCACCAGGTCTTTTTTCCCACAAAGCTGCTGGTGGTCTGACCTTTACTTTAGTCAGCAACCAAGCGTCTAACCGTTGCAGGCAGAAGTAAAGGCACCCTAAATTTGACTTGGTTACTGGTAAACTCGGAGTCCTAGTCTGGCGCTGTGGTTTAATGCACTGGACTGCAAAGTCGTTTGAACCACAAGGTCGGCAGTTCAAGCTCACCAGCCGCTCCTCGGAAACCCTCTACAGGGTCACTATGAGTTGAAACTGACTCAACAGCCCTTACACAACAGCCGGTAAACTCGGCTATGCAGTAGACAGAAGCCAAAGAGAGCCTCTATCTGAAACTAGTCACACCCTAGAACTTCAGGAACAATTATCTGGGATAAGAACTTTGTTTTTTTTTACCCTCGGGCTACATTTAATCCTAAAGGTACAGATCTGAGTTTGATAAGATCAATTTTCCATTAGAAACAAGGGTGGAGAAAACACTCAAACACCCCCAACCTTGGTCCAAGGCTAGCAATGAGTGTTCTGACAAGGGTCCACTCTGGAGCTAGGCCTACTCTCTACTCACTTCTGACCTCCCAGGGCCACCCCAGGCCTTAAAGTTCCTGTTGACAGTCCCCACCCTTGACCCTGTGTCCCTGCACTGACCAGAGTAGCCACACTTTCCTCTCTGCCTGGTGTGGTCAGCTCTTGCCTGTTGCCCTCTGAGGCTCCATTCTACACATCTCCAGAAGACAGCTCCCACTTCCGTTGCTACTCTACCAGCCCCAGCTACCTCTCCCCTTTGCAGACCACTCACCTCCTCATGGTTCTCCTCCATCTTCTCCGTGTTTAGCTTCACGGCACCAGGTGGGGCAGCGCGGGGCGGGGAGGTCCCCTCAGAGCTGCTCTCAATCCCAGCCCCCGCCTCACCCTCAGGTTGAGGGGTCTCTGGGCCGCCTTGGGGCAGCAGTCCCACACCAACCTGAGGTCCACAGTACGACATGCCTCCACAGAACTCGTACTGCGAGGGGCACGGGGGAATGCCCCACATCTCACCACCCGGTCCGACCCCTGGCCCAATTCCTGGCCCACCGGGAGTGCCTTGGAAACTCAGCCAGGTCCGAGGGTCAGTCCAGCCTGGCTCTGGCCCCGACCCTCCAGGCCCTTCACCTCCACCACCTGGTGGGGGCGAGAAGGCAAAGTCGGCAGCCAGGTGTCCCGCCATGGGGAAGGAAGGCACCCCAAGCCGGGGGCCTGGTAAAAGGAGAACTCTCCGAGGAACTGTTCAACACCTCTCTCCCTCCCCAAACCCACCCACCAGCCTTGACCTCTGGCCCCGCCCCCTGGATGGGTGGGGGAGAGTGGCAGGGGTGGGAGAAACTGAGGCGAGGAAGTTTGCCGATTGGTTGTTGCTCTAAGCACCATCGAGTCAGTTCCGACTCTTAGCAACCCTTATAGGGTTTCCAAGGAGTGGCTGGTGAGTTTGAACCACTGACCTTGCAGTTCAAACTGACTTTATGGTCCAGTGCTTACCCTACAGGATCACACCAGGATGCTTGCCGACTAGTGGCAGTATTTGTGGATGAGAGCTGGGGCGATTCCACTGAGTTCTCCTCCAATTTCTAGGGTCCTTAATGTAGGACCCAATGTGGACATTCATTTCTGACTCCCAACAGGCTACCCAGTCTTGCACACCTCAGGCCGGGCATCTTTCTGACATTCGCTCCACTGTCTTCATGAACCCCAGTGCTAGTCTCTTCACTGGGACCCAGTCACTCTTGCAGCTACTCAAACATTAATGGAACTATGATGGTGGTGGTGGTGGTGATTGTGTACAGTTGAATCAGTCCCGATTCATAACCCTGTATAGGGTTTCTGAGGCTGTAAGGTCTTTGTGGGTGTAGAAAGCTTCCTCTTTCTTCAGAGAAGCGGCTGATAGATACAAACTACTGACCTTGAGGTTAGCTACCCAACAGGACCAAGTACTGCTGGGAGTATTTCTCCAATCATTAACAGCTGCCCCTAACCAGAAGCCCAGTCATTTAGCTTACTGGCCAGGTGCAGTTACCCAAACTTCAAATCCCTGACACCCATCTGCCCAGCCTGCTAAATTCCAACCCCATTAACAGGGACAGACCTCTGATCCTTCCCCAAGGGCTCCACTTCATCCCTCACCTACTCCTAGTCTTCTGGCCCCAGAGTCTCCTCACCTAATAGACTCTGGAGTGGACCCCACTTCCCCTTCTCAGGACAAAGCTGACAGAGGGATCAGAGCTCTCTCATGAGCCCCCCACGGTGCCCCCCTAGGCCCCTACCCCACCCATCAGGGTCCTCGCCTCCCCTCTTCTGGGACCTGAGGGAGGATCTAACACAGCTCTCCCTCCCCCACCTCCCTAGGCCAGGCCTCCAGCCGTAGGAGCTAGGGTGGGGAAAGTCAAGGTAGGAGGGGGAAGAAGAAAATCTCTGACTTCAGGTTCAAAGCAGCCTGGGAGGGACGGGGGAAGGGGGCAGGACAATGGCCTAGGCTGGACAATCCCAGTCCCCAGAGGGGGCAGTTTTAACCCTAAACAAGTGCTCAGCCCTTGAATGGGCCTGGATGGCTCCCCTGGGGACAGCTTCCTGCCACCACCACCACCCCAGCCCTCCAGCCCCAACCCCCTCACACAGAATCCCCCTCAGAGCAGCTAAAAGGAACTTCAGCTACCCCCCTCTTCAGTCCCCCTCAAAGACGGCGCTTCCTCAGACTGTCTCCAAGAGTCTCCTGCTAGGACCCAAGTATCTCGCTCCCCCTTCCTCTGGAGGACTCAGGCCTCACCTCACCAGCCACTCCTCCCCCACTCTCAGGCCACAGGATGTGCTTTGTTTGGGGGGCTAGCCGAAAGGTGCTGAAGAGATAGGTAACAATTTGGGGTGACGGTGCAGGAAGACCACCCTAAACTCCCCCTCAGGATCTGTTTTTTTGTGGGGAGACGTGGCCTGGTATTCCAAGACCTCAAACTGCTGGGCTACTTAGTGTTTGATGCTGTTTGCAAGAGAATAGCCCTCCCTGGGCCTGTCTGCACTGGATGATGTTTGTCTGTCTGCTCCTAAAACCTGCCCTGAGCAGAGACCCTAGGGTGAATTAGGGGCTCTGGGAAGATTCTGAACCCCAGCTCCCCGACAGCTGGAAGGTGAAAGACTCAACCCAGCATCTCTTCATCCACACTCCAGGCTCACCCTGTCTGGGGTTGTTTACTGGGATCAATGGTTCAGTGTCTGCTTTCTGAGAAACTGGATGTCCCTTTCAACTGTGGCCAGGGGATCGGCTGTCTTCACATGAGTGGTATCAGGGCATCCTTTGAACTTGTTTGTGTCCTCTGAACCTGAATCAAACTGCCCCATTCACGTGCCTATCTGTGTATACCTCTCATAGGTGTAGGGTTGGAGCAGAATTCCCTTCTGATGTCACTCACTGCCCCAAAGGCAGATAGATTAAGGGGCCTGGTGGGGGTGGAGAGACAGCTTTGGAACAGGAGGGGTCCTCCCCGCCAGTTCCCCACTCCACAGAACAGAGCCTTCGCTGCACCTTTGTCATGCATCTATCTGCTGTCTGCGGAGAAGACAGCCTCCAGAGGGGGGGAGGGAGGCCCCGGCTCAGCACTTGGCTTGACTGAAATCTTAACCTGGTCCAGAAACCCTTCACCCCTGCTGCCCTGTCTTCTCAGAGACTCAGCTTCCTCATTCAACATTACCATCTGATTTTTGAGATCACAATTTGTAGTATACAGAGGGTTTGGGCAAGAAGCCCATTCTGGAGGAGAAGCCATAAGAGAGGTGAGTCCCTGGGCTCCTGGCTGCTGGTGGCTTGGACATCTGAGCCAGGTGAGGCCTTGTGCTGACTGGAGTCATCTAACCTAGAACCTTAAAGGTCAGTTCAGTTTTGACTAGAGTCTAACCTAGAACCTTACAGGTCAGTTCAGTGTTTCTGGAGATCTACTCCTCAGCCACTCTTGGAGAACTCCCAGACCAACCAGTGACAGAGACAGATTCCTCCAGCCTCTTAGGCCTGAAACGTAGGTGGCTTCACTTCTGCCAAGACAAGCTTCCCCAGAGTTTGGCCCACCCAGTGCTGTTGATCTCTGTTGGGTCTGAAAGAGACTGGAAGTAAGTTTGAGTCATCAGCCTTGCTCCTTGACTCTACTGGGTTCCAGTGGATCACTGAGAAACATCAAATTCAGAAGCCAACTTTGAATAAGGCTTGCAAACTCTCTATATCCATCTTTATTACAACAATTCCAAGGCCCTGCACAGATGACTACAAGTATCTGGTTGCAGAACACTGCTGGGGGAGCCCAGGAAGAGAGATGAGGTCTGCCTCTCCCCCAGGTGTAATTAGGCCTTCAGGTCGGGCATTGCCACCAGGCTAGGCAAACCAGTTGGATGGGCTCAGATGGGGACCAATGGAGACTTGCTGTAGTAGGAAAACATTCATTTTGGCTCCTGGGTTCTCTCAATCTGAAGCAGAAAAAAAAGGCAAGGAAAGGTCTGAGCAGCGAAGGCTTTAGGTATTGTCCACCTTGAGAAATTACTTTCCTCTATGCTGTAAGATACGGAGCTCTGGTAGCATAGTGGTTACGAATCAGGCTGTGAACTGCAAGGTCAGCAGTTCGAAACTACCAGCTGCTCCGCAGGAGAAAGAGGAGGCTTTCTGCTCCCGTAAAGATTTACAGCCTTGGAAACCCTGTTCAGGTTCGCTATGGGTTGGAACTGACTTGACGGCACTTAACAACAACAACATGCTGTAAGATAAACACAGAACTGCCAACTGCAAGGTTGCTGGTTCAAACCCAGCCCCTCCTTGGAAACCCTATACAGAGTTGCTAAGAGTCAGAACTGACTCAACAGCAGACAACACCACCTCAACTTACACATATCCCACTGCTTGTAGGGACTGAAGCCCCTTTTCTCTGACCTTCACCACACCTATATCCACCACACCCTCTGACCTTCACCACACCTATATCCCAAGACCTTCTTTTTCTGACCAGACACTTTTACTTTAAACTCAGAAGTCAGCCTGCACGGAGATGGAAAGGTTAGGGGGTGAGGGTGGTGAAGCTGGGAGAATTGGTCAGGAATAAATTGAGAGATGGTAGGCCAGGATTCTCGGTTCTGGCTTTGACTTCCTCAAATAATAGCACCTCCCCTTTCTGTGCCTCAGTTTTCTCATCTATAAAAAGGAACTGGACTCTAGGTGGAGCTGATGAAATGAAATATAGATGGGTTACGGGCAATACTGTAGTGAATAATGGTTATCAGGATGGATTGTGAGTGTTGGAAATGCAAAGGTGGACATTTTGTGGCAAGGAAGGGAGCGACTGTTTCTCCAGTCTAGGAGC